CTCTATTTATTTCTGTAAGGATTCAAAATGCGACGGGAGGTTTTGGTTAGAGACTGACTACTGCCTGTCATAAATCTGTTTCTCATGGGCTACATAATCCCAGACTTGCCATGTCTACCACCCACACAAATACTTTGCTCCTGTTTAAAAATCATCCGCAGCTGATTTAATTGTTTCTGTGCGCTCTTAAAGGAGGCGAGCTTTAACGATCCCTCTACTCATTGTATTTTTCAGAAATGCCTGCTGAATCAACTCGCCTTATTGGAAACATGCTTTAGCTCGAGTCCTTTGGGTTACCACCAGTTTTATGTGGCTGTGTATGTGTGTGTGTGTGTGTGTGTGTACGAGTTTCCATGTCATTGTGCGTTCATGGGTGTTTCTGTGAGCATATACAGTAGGTTGTGTGCCAGTGTGCATATACATGTACAATATTTGCGGATAAAATTCAAGAGACAACTCTGTCCATTACTCAATAAATGAATCCGGTTTGCTCAAACACCATCTGGAGATGACATGTTGCTGATCGAACTCCTGAATGTCATAGAATGAAACAGACATATTTTAGACATGATGAGAAGCAGCAATTACCGTACTTCTGAGCCATTTTTTTGCTCCACCCTGGGAGGGAGTGCTGGGCTGGGCTTGTAAAGACCTGGGTCACTGTCTTTGGAAAATGACCAGTTGACAGCAGGAGTGAAGTGAGTCAGCTCATTTTGTATGAATTTAAGCAAATTGATTAAATGTGTGGCCGTCAAACAGAAAACTGGGAATTTGTCGTAACTGCTGAAACTTCTTAAACATGCTGTCTGTGGTTTTCTTCTGTCAGCCTTAATTTGAAAATGTTTTATTTGAAGCATTCTTTTAAAGGGCTTGAATGATAATTTCATTTTATGTTTTATTTTTTTATTACCCAGGTAAAAGTCTCCAGAGAGACCTCACCACATTAGGACGATTTAGGCTACATTGTAGGTACTAAACTTCTTTATATTAACTTAAAGCTGCCTGTCTTGCTGTATTTCAACACCCCAATCTTTTTGTTCAACAGTCTGTATGGATGACATGAAAAAGCTCCAAATGAGAAAAACATGGATTGAATTTGCACATTTCATTGTTTAAAAATGTCTAAAATTGTCGTTTTATTTAACAATTAAACGATTAGTTCTCCAGCATTATGTAATGTAAAACAGTATAGAGAGGTCATGACATCACATTGTCTCTGTTCCCCAAGCTTCTGTAACTCAGTGCGATGTCATTTAGTATTTCTTTCATTAGTCTTCCTGAAAAAAATAAGAGTGTTCCTTGGGCGTACTATAAATAAAATTATCTATAACAGCACTTGCTATTATAAATTAAAACCTTTACGATTTTTGTACTACAGTTCCTTACATCATCATAACTTGATTTTGTCAATATACATAAAATTCACCAAAGTAATTTTTTTCAAATTTTATAGCATACTCTCTGCTGTATAAAAACCTTTTCAATATTTCCTCACTGTCCTACTGTTAATACAAACATATCTGAGCCAACCATTACCCTCCAACTCTCTCAAGACTCACCTCTTTTGTTAAGCAATGACATTTAGCTTGCAAAGGTTTAGGGCTTCTGGGAAATTATGTTGTTAAAGGCTGTTAAAAAGACTGAAATATTAAATAAACAATGATATTAGATTTTTCAAAAAACTAAAATAAAAAGGTTTCTTATCTATACATGTGAAGTGAGCCACATTCAATGTTGAGAAAGGCTCTGTTCCCAGGCTGGATTTTAAGTTATTAGCATTGTTAGAAATGTCAATGGGATTTTGAAACAGGTTTTCTTATTTCTGGACCAGAACCCAAAAGTTCCGGTTTCACTGCGATTCTCTATATTGGCATGAGGAAATAGCTTTGCTGTGTAACCCTATTTATGCTTTAAATGAAGATTTGCAGTTTCACTGTTGACATAATGGTTTACAACACGTCAAATGAATACAGACGTTTTAATTGCTTTTGTGTGTGAAGGAATTGACCTTGCTTATGTCAGCTTTCCTTGAGTCTCAGTTCCATTGACCTCAAGCTAATTACCGACTGACAGGTTGTGTAAACTCTTGATACTACATGTGTTAGATTGGCCTTCACATGCCCCCTCAGTCGCACACACAAAACCACATAGAACATTTCATCTTCATCTTTTTAAGGATCTGAACAAATTGGTGAGTTGACATCCAACTTTTGTAGTGTTACCAGAAATCATACAAAACCGTTTTAAATTCAGAACTAAAATATTTTTTTCTCTTAAAACAGGACACTAAATTGATATTTTCATTGATGTTTGTGCAAGACACAAAGTCCATAAGGTGATGATTAAGGAAGGAAATGCATTCTGCCTCCAGAACCTTGGGGCTTGCTGTGGTTGTTTAGAATTGTTTGTTGACAGCGCTGTTTCCTATCCCCTGCACCTCCTGTTGTCCTGAGCACATATGGTTGGCTCGCCTCTCTGCATGCTTGGCCTCAGCTGAGAGACTGAGGCTTACATGGCTCAGTGGAAGCCCCTGACCCGTATGGTGCTACTGTCCATCTCTGGAAAAGTGTCACCTACTTCCAGGCAGGGGTATAGTCTATCTCGTCATAGGCTCTCTTGGATTCGGCGAGTAACGACGCGAACCACTGTCTAAGATGCAGTCTGGTTGCTGAAGTTAACATAGAAGGACATCTTTGAGTCTCGCCTCTGTCCTGACCCCGGCTTCTCCCTTCCCTGCTGAGAATTACTCTCTCAGCTTGCAGGAAACACTATCCACCTTCCAAAGCCTGCGTCTTTGCAGGAACACAAAATTAGTTGAACTTGTGCTTTCCGCGTTCCTCATTCCTTTACGCAGCCAGACACGTCTTCTGGTTTCCATTTGTTTTAAGCTATTAGCGCTCATGGCCTGATAAGGGAGTGGTTGGAGGAGCACAAACATCCGTCTCCGAATACATCCGTCACCGTCCATATGTGTTTGACTTGAGCAATAATATCCGCTCTTGGAAAGGTTTGACTAGAAGGTCCGGAGGTGAAACTACCGTGGTGTAGAAGCATTTTGACTTTATGTAATACTTGACGAAGGTCTGAATGTTATGTGTTCGTTAAATATATTCCATCTCAATAAACGTCTTGGACAGCATGCAACATTGTTAAGCAATTCAATTTCACAGGCAGCTGACCAGAAACACAGCACTTTAAAGACTTTTATAGGGGTTAGTTTTTGGCGTGTGAGAGAAAGTGCTTCACATGCTATGAATGTCACCTCAAGTTAGTTTCCACTGTTGCTTTTTGCAGTCAACAGAGGACACTTGCTTTTCTAAGATGGATACCACTGGCAAAAACACAGAGAGTCAAGCATCTCTTCTTATCCAGATGATAAACAAACTATTTTATTTGACTGTCTCTTCTACATTTGGCAGAACATCAGTTATGTCTGTGTTGACAGTGTCTGAGCCATTCAAGTGGCTGCCTTCTAGACAAATTTCCTGGCTGTGCACTAAACAATAAGTCTTGCACTGCACAAAGATGAAATTAGATATTTTACCGTTCCATTATGCGAGTTCAAAGGAGGAAAAAGAAACGTGCATTTGTGTGCAGTATCTCAACATTTATTCCACGTGGGTACTTTTCTTAAATCAGAAGCGTTACACTGAAGATGTAGCGAGATGGAGTTGATTCTCACTGCACTAAAAAAAAAAAAAATTGGGAAACATTGAAAATCTAAAGAAGTTGTCAGTTGAAAGATAACGTTAACATAGAGCAAAGACACAAAGAAGTGGCTGGAGGTCTGGTTGAGGATGACCCCAGCATAACTCTTTTCCTACAACGCTGTCCTATCATTTCTTCTCCCACATTTGGACAAAGGAATCCAGTTATCATTTATTGTGATTAGTATGTCAGTTCTATAAATATTCCTTATAGAGGCCATGAGTCAACCAGGAACTGTTTGTGAACTCTTGGCGTTGTGTGTACTTACAGAGCAGGGATCCTCAGGGACTTCTGCACCTGGTATTCAAAACTTCATCGATGACACTTACATCGGGGCCTGAACGAAGTGTCGTAGACTTGTTGCATTTGTTGGGAATAGATCATTCCTGACTTTTCGTGTACCTCAGTATTCCCCAGGTCCGTAAGGGTCACTTGCAGGTCACTGTGTATGCACACAGTAACACAGGGCAGATGCTTTGTCAGCATTAATATATTTAGGTACTGTTCACGTACCGCGCTTAAGTATGTGTTCTTGACTTTCTTGAGAAACTAGTTGCCTGACTGGAAGCATGGCATGTCTGTTCTCTCTTGGAAAACAGGGCTTGAAAATGACATAATGACTGCACATTATGGATGACGTAGTGAAATTTTATATCTACTGTTCTCCATTGGCACGACAAAAGACGAGCTCTCAGCCACAGTTGCCACAGTGATCTTCTATTTTGTGTTTACACTAAGTTTATTTGGCCCTCTAAGGGAGCTCTTGTCCCGGTAATTAAAAATTACATTTGCAGATAAAACTTTGCATAAACACCTCATTTAGTTGTACTCTTTCTGTGCCTGGATTGCATAACTCCCGTTTGACGGCAAGTCCAAAGCTTCGGTGAACTCTCAAGCTTGCAGCGTATCGTGCCTGAAGCCTTGAGGGAGGAGAGACGGAGAGGAATGATGGCGAGTGATGGCCGTGGCTCACATCCACCCTCATAAACAAAAAAATGTTGGTGTTGTGACTGAGCAGAGATCTCAAGAGTGCAGATTCCTATTCTTCATCTGCAAAGCTGTGCAGACATTCCGAACGGTGGCAAATCTCGATTTTCTAATTGTCTGAATTTCTTTGCACAGACATCCGACAGGCATCCACATTCAGAGATTTCCCAAGAATGCACGTACAAGTAAAGGCAACATGGTAACAATTTACTTTAAAACCCCCAAAAATTGCATTTTTAAGCAGTATATAAAATTATTTATAACACACTAAAAATTACTTGTATGCAGGTTTACATTCATTTTAAGTGTTTATTAATTTACATGATATGCCAACAATAATAATTTCTCAGATTATTTTATAGCATTACAGCTGTGTTTACATTTATACACCACTCCACTTAAAGGAGGGTCCACAGGAGTTATTAACACTAATAATAAACACTTGTATCTGCTTACAATTACATTATATGAGTGTTATAAACCATTTTTTAAATGTTTATATATATTTTTTTAACCCTTCATGGGGGGAGTAAGAATAATAACAAATAAGCCAGCTCTTTCAAATATATCTGCCTTTACTTTATTCATGTACTGTACAGTATTTCATTTCCAAAGTCTCTATCATACTATATGACAATAATGGCTATCATTTACTACAAAAGGTTGCATAAATAATTTAAATGTGGAAATAAAAAATAAATATGCAGTTCATTCTTTATAACAGTCCTTCTTTTTGTCTGTAGGAAACAGCCCTCCCTCCCTGCTTCTCTTTAAAACCCCTCCGAGTGGGGGCACCACTGCAGAAGACCACACAGGTATGATATGTACAATCACGTTATGCATCACAGCTCTCAGCTTACACGACAAACCCCCTTCCAGTTGCTATTTCAAACATACAGTTGGAAAAAGAACCAAACATTGTCAGTACAGTTTAGAAAACCAAAATCAGGAAGCAATATGAGCAGAAAAACAACGGGGTGCTGACAATATGTGGAAACATTGTGAATATTCTTCATGAAGTACAGTCCCATCTTAGGCATTGCTGAGGAAGGAGGTTGTGTTGTCTGCTCTGACAGACTGGGTATCGCCACTTCCTCTTCCTGCCAGATTCTATCAGTCAATACAATGATAAAAACTGAATTATTGTTTTCATTATGTTATTTTTGTTCCTATCTTTCCTGTTTGAGCTATTTACAGAATGGGAGCAGAGAGTGAATGGGAGTGGAGGTGTCTCGGATCCTGCAGGCTAACACAACGGGTGGATTTTGGCTGTGGATGGGTGATCGCTGCTCTATTTGGCCCGTTACAAAAGAATTCCGGTGTGGGCGTGCTGGAGAACGCTCTGCCCCTAGGTAACAACACAACCACGCACAATGTTCTGATGCCTCCTACACACATGTGCACTTTTTTGTGTGTGATTCCAGCAAACAGGAACTGGCTATGTCTAGAGGAAATGGCTTTTTATGACTCAAATAACACAGGAACGGGCTCATTTAGTAATTAAAAGGAGTCACAGGACTGCCCAGTAACCCCATGGTGTTAGAGCTGACAAAACTGATTTCTCCCCCCATTTCTCTTTCTCTGTCTCTCCTGACTCTCTGTATCTAGTCGTGGGAAAGGCGCTACTGTAACTGACAGGCCTGCTTGGGGCTGCTGCAGCGTGGAGAGTGCTTTGGGGCTGTCCTGATGAGTGAGGTCTTTAGTGGGCTGTCAGAGAGCTGCCTGGACCGCTGTACAGGCCAGGGCCTCTCAAAAACATGTCAACATCCCACTGTCAGAGCCCCCAGAGCTGCCACCATCTCCTCCACACACAGCCAAAAGGAGATGGATTACAACCACTTTGGAGCAAAGATACACCTTGTCAGCTTTAAACAGGGCTGTGTTGCGGCGTAGCTCTGCATCCGCTGGATGTTTGTACAGATGGGCTTGGAGCCTCGGGGAGGACTTCTCATTATGCTTAAATAAAATCTGTTTGACTGGAGGACAGACCCGAGTTCAGGGAGGTTTTTGAGCTGTTGGGGTGATCAGATACTTGTTTCATATAATCCAACATGGTGCTACATCTCCTGACCAGTCACAGTTGTGGCAAGCCCTGGCACTGACTTTGTCATGCAAATAAGCAAAGTTCACAAATATGCTGACAAGTGGCTGAAAAATAAAGACTGATGACTTAAAAACCAGCCCAGCAATTAGCTTATGAATTTGCTCTCTTTGAAATTTCTTTTTGCATCTCCTCCCTATTTGAAGGAGAGATTATGTCGGTTGGTGTGTTGTGTAACGTGCGTGTGTATGAGTGAGCTTTGGTGTCTGTCCTTGGATGCCGAAGAGGAGCATCAGTACGAGTTGCCCATTAACGGTGTGTTGTTCTTGTTCCGGTCTTGAGACGAACGACTGTGCTTCTTGTTGCGTTGCCTCTTCGGGACCTCCTTGGCCTCTGATTGGTTATGGTGGGGCCTGAAGCGCTTGCACTTGCAGGAGGTGACCACACGGATTTTGTAAGTCCGAGTGTTGCCGTTAGGACACTGCAGCTGGAACCTCCTTGTCCGGGAGTGGGCCGGGATGCAGCGGTAGTCCGAGGCGTTACTCCTCCACCACTTTCCTCGGGCGATGGAGTTCGGCATGAGGTGCGAGGGCATACACTGGCCCGAGCACACCAGCTCCTTGACGGGCTTGGCACTGCGGCAGGATCCGTCGGTGATGTAACGGGTGGAACGCAGCTCCCTACAGCTCAGCTCCGAGGCACCTGGGTTGAAGAGCAGGATATCACAGTTACACTCATGGCTTCATCCCAAAACATACACTTTGAAGTGCTGCACACTGGAATGGACATTCTGCAGGTTAACTGATTCAATGCTGTAACACCAGTATGTGCTAATTTCTTTGATTCTGTTTATGTCAACATGAACTCACCTATTGCGTTATTTGTGTAGAAAAAAAACACGTCAGATAAAAACTATGCAGCAGCATTTCGAAACCCAAAAGTGCAGCCGAAAAATGCGCTTTTATAAATTTGACTTATTACAACAATTTTTACGTTTAAGTACAAATTTAAGCCACTGAGATCAGATCAGAGTTTCTGAATTTGATTCATGGTCCGATCATTAGCTGACGACGGGGCTTGACAAAGAAATCCAGCTGGCAGCAATCAGCTGATAGCAAATCCAGACCAGAGGGCCATTAAACAGCTCAATCAAACCTAATGGAGGTTTGGGCTGGAAGAAAAAGCTGGCACACAGTGTTGGCCCTCAGGAAATGTATGTGGTGATGGAGGAGTAAATAGCTGTCTGGTTATTTTAAGGCAGCGCTGCAACTGTACAATTTTGAACAAACTGGACATCTGCCAGACTGATTTGAGACGACGCACTCAGCCTGTAATCCGATGTTTGAGCCACAGCTTTTTAACAGCCGTATGCATGAGTTATTGTCCTGTGTTTTTTACAGGCAGTGTGTAAAAAAGGGGCAAAGGAACTGTCGGTTAAGAAATGATACACTCAGAGAGGGATCTGTTTTCCTCTGCGGCTTTCTTCGCAAAAAGGGCTGAACAAAGGATTTATGTGAGGTGACTTCCTTTTTTTCTCCCCATGTGAACCTGATCTAGTGTTATTCTGTGGCTGCCACTGAAGGGACCACAGTAGTATACAATGCTACAGCACGCACTGAGCGGCGGTTTGCACCAATTACCAGCCAAAGAGTCAGGTTGTCTTCTTCAGTGAGCGTTGGGGTTTTAATCCAGTCTAACTCTGTCTTCTCCTTTACATTTCCTGTTGTCCTCTCTAATGTCAGCCTGAAAAAATCATTACTAATGATGGTGGCTTGAAAAAAACACACACTAGACTACTGTACAGTTGCGTGAGCTTTTCTCCCCTCCTCCGGCAGTGAGAGACAAGTCTTGGGAGAGAACTGGAAGGAGGCCAGGCAGTGGTCATAGCCTCTGCTGTGACCCCACAGGGACCCTGAGGAGTCGTCCCAGGACGAAAGCTGAGAGATGGATGACAAAATAATCCAGGAGATTTCTGCCTCCCACTTTGAAACTCAACACACATGCTGCTTATCCATATGAAAACAAGGCGAATGCGTTTTTTCCACCCCTTTTTTGGAGACTAATAAAGAGTAAAATTAATATAAAGTGAGATCTTGCTTAATGTGTGGATTTGTTGCCCCTAACATCCTCACCAGACAATAATCAATCACTCTAACGGATCTCGACTTGCTAATTCCCCCCGGTCAGCTGTTGTTCTTCTAATCTAATCAATCTTCTTCCTCTGATCTCCAATTTGAGCGGCCAAGATTAAATGAAGGCTAAACTGTGAGAATATTACACCACCCATCTTGAATCCATGAGAACAAGCGTGAGATTCTCCTACATGCACAGCTCAATCAGAACATACAACCTTCACTGGCCACAGGTGGGAATCATTCTCAAAGGCAGTGTTGCATTTAAAAAGCAATTTCCAACCTCCCCCCCCAAAAAAAGACATCCCCCTGAAGAACAAACTGTGGGGTTTTTCTGTTTGGGAGACATGTTGTTGCAATCAAATAGTTATGGCGTAAGTAGAGCTTGACTAATAGTATAAAGAGAGAAGGAAATAACCTGGAAGACAACGTGAAAAAAGCCCTGATGTCTCTCTGAATGCTCCACTTCAAATTGTTTAAGGGAAGAAACCACAAGAATGTGCGTCTGTGCCGCTCTCATCACCCTCAACTCTGGCAAAGGATTAAGCAAGAAAACACACTTCCCACACAGCAGAGCTGCTCTTAATCAGGGAATCAGTGTGAAAATGAAAAGGCAGATTGTCTTTGTGCTTTTTTTTAAGTCAGACCCACCAAATTTAGGCAGCCTAGATTTCACCTATCAGAAAATTAAAGTTTTTAAAAAATGTCAAAAAGGTGGCTTAAAAATTATTAAACCATATGCTAATTTAGGACAAAAGTAAAGACACATAATTAAATAACAGGTAAAGCTGTCTAATTTATTTGATATTTTTGCGGTATTAAAGAAGATTCTTCAAACATTGGGGTCAACGGGACAGTCTGCGCACACACACTGAACACTGAAATCAGCTGATTTAATCTGAAAAAGAAAATATATTTCTTGTACAATAAAGAGTCTAAACTTAAATACAAAGTTAATCCGTCTACTCATGTTTAAATTGCAGTTTGGGGTCATTTAAATCAGAAGATTTCATGCTCTCCCGCACAGGTTCACATACATGTGGCCGCTTGCTATGCGATTGGCCCCCGAAACGTTAAGAAATTTAAATCTATTTTTTATTTTAGTTTCCTCACTTTTACGCACCAGGCCTCAAATAAAATGATTTTTCAGGCTGACCTGGATAATCAGCAGTGCAGAGAATGAATTATTAGGCTGCTGCTTTTATTTTATTTATGAACTATTTTAACATTTAACCAACTTTAACGCATACTCACTGTAGGAGACTGTGATTGCTGTTCTTCCACCGTTTTTCGCCCTGTTATTCATTGTGTTGCTGTTGTTGTTGTTGTTGTTGTTGTTATTGCTGCCGTTGGCCGCCTGTATTATTGCCTCGTGAGGTGTCCGAGTATCTTCTCTGTACTCCGGTAAAATCTCCGTAGCATCGTTTTTTAGTACCTTCCATCCCTTCACAGCGGTGCAGCATCCCTGGAGCAGCAGGAGCGCCGAGCTGGAGAGGAGGATGGCCAGAGACACCTGCATGCTTGTCGGCAGAAAGAACGCAAAGAGCACCAGGATAAAAAAGAAAAGTCACACACACAAACGCACGCACACACGCACACACGGCAGAGAGATAGAGAGAGAGTGTGTGAGAGAGAGTGAGAGAGATGCCCGCTTGGACAAGTTGGTCAGTTCCAGCTTCAGTGGAAGAGGCGCACACGGTATTTAAGCCCACGCAAGTTTCCGTCAGGACTGACAATTAAGCGTTTACACAAAGTGGGAGGGGTTGAACCTGGGAGAGAGATTCATTGAGAAACTAGGAGGGGAGAGGTTTGGATGCGTGCGCAAGGAGGGGAGAGGAGAGGAGAGGAAGAGAGAAAAAAAGAGGAAAGGAGAGGAGAGGAAGAGAGGAAAATAGATGACTGTCGATGAGATGAGACTAAGAAAGGAGGAAAGGGGGAAAGAGGGGTAATAAGAAGAAAATAGAGGATAGGATAGTGGAGAGGAGAGAAAGAGAGAGGAATGGGAAAAAAGGGAGGAGAGGAAGAGGAGTAGAGAGGGAAATGGGAGAAAGCAAGAGAGAGAAGAGGGGAAAGAGAGGGGAGGGGGAAAGGAAAGGAAAAGAAAGGAGAAGAAAATAGAGGGTAATATAGAAAATAGAGGAGAGGTGAGGTGAGCAGAGGAGAGGAGAAGAAGGAAATAAAGAGAGTAGATGAAAAGAAAATAGAGGAGAGGAAGAGAGGGAAATAGATGACAGAGATGAGAGGAAAAGAG